GTTTCTGAGAGAAGCAACCATTATTTCAACAATTAACGCTTCAACTCTCAAACAGTGGTCACAATGGTCTCACTTTAACTCTGGGATCAATCATGGAGTATGCTTTTAGGAGCCTGGTGTTCATAAGGGCGCCATCTTCCAGAATGCTGATATCCCCATCAAGTTTCAAATCCTTATGGGTGAACTTCACAATAGGCACCTTTGCCTGGGATATGGTGAAGACTTTTGTGATCCAGCGACACTTGCGTAACATCTTCCCAATTTGATTCACAGATGGAGGCTGAAAAAGAATGCATTTTTTAAGTGACTCAACTCAACATGTTTGATTATACAGTTATTATGAGGTTATGAGAGGCTTACAGGCACATAGGTAGGACAGGGAATGAGGCCAATATCTAGATCAGAGGTCTTCAGCCCAAACCCATTGCAAGAAGAGCCAAATAGTTGTAAGCTGATGTTGGGGAAAGAGACTCTTAAGAAGCATTCCAAGTCTCTGACACCCATCAACCGGATCCTCTCATCTTCTTCATTTTTTTCCCAATTTGCTATAATAATAAAAAAAGCTCTTGAAAGATAATTACTTCTCCAGTTGTCATGTTAAGGTATTCAAGGCAACATCCTGCATTATATAGGGGGGGTTGATGAAACAATAGAAGTGAAGGATTGTAATTGCAGGGTAGCTATCACACACATATAAGGTCCGATCAAAAAGTCCTGAGACTGAAATTTTTACGACACTATGGTGATTCTTACCACCTTACAGGATAGGTCAGAAATTGCTGCACAGTGAAGATGTGCTGGACCTGGGCATGGTCATGCTGCAGAATCTATGACCTTGCTTCCCCCTTTTCTCTTTCTGTGAACAGCAGTGTGCAGATGAGTGAACACAGTGAGGTAAGACCAAAGGGGTAAACAGTGATTCAGACTCACTATCTCACTGTGAGAAGGAGAAAGAGAAAAAAGGGAAAAACCTTGCATCCCACTTTCCTTTCTTTTCAGAATGAGAAAAGTGGGAGGCAAGGTTGTGGATTCTGCAGCATAACACCCAGGGCCAGCATGTTTTTCCTATGCAGCAATTTATGACCTACCCTATAATCCCCATGCTTCACCATCTTCCCAATTTGGTGGACTTGGCTCCCAGTGATTTCTTTTTGTTCCTTTAGCTATAGAGTGTGCTGAAAGGAAGGAGATTTCAGGACATTCGAAGCAGCACTACAATCGTGACACAGGTGCTGCTGGAAATTCCAAAAGACGCTTGCCAGCGATGCTTCTATTGGTTGAAGAAATGCTGCAAAAAATGTGTAGACACTAAAGAGGAAAACTTTGAAGGATATAGACATTGGAAGCCAGAAAGAGTCACCAGTGTCCTAATCTGATCTCAAAACTTTTTCATCAGATCTTGTGTCATGCTTAATCTGTACATGTTTCCAGTCTTCCTACCATTCATGGTTTCAGAGATTTTTCACTTTTTAATAGAAACACTCACTGGTACTAATTATTAAGAAACAAAAAGAACTTTCAGAATAATCTTGAAATCACTCCATGGCAAATAAAAACTTGAAGTTATCAAGTAGATTCACAGGCTGACAAGCTAAGACTTGATTATCTCAAAGAGAAGAAAGATGAAACACAGAAGCTGGGAGAAACTAAATGACAGACAGCAAACACAAGTGTTTTTTGCTTCCTTGAAGTTTCAGGAACTATAGCAGGAAAAGTTTCAGTTTTCCATTTTAGCATGATGCAAAACTTCCACCAATCAATTTCTCCATCCCAGAGCAGATAGTGTCTCATAATTTTCTTTTAGACCACCTAGTGACATTTTTTTACTCTATAACAAATTTAAGATGTTTAATTTATCATCTTCTTGCTGAACTATGAGTTCTAGACCATGCTGAGAAATTTGAGACACCCAGTTGAGATATCTTGGAAAAACAAGTGAGAATAATGACTGACTGATTAGACAAACTCCTTAACCCTCTTACTGCCAGGCCTAAAGCTGCATACCATGCAAGAAATGCCTAGAGATATCTGATACATCTGTAAAAAAAATTGAAAACGTTTTTAGCAGAGACATCTGTGATGAAAATGATTAAGAAAGTGTCAGACATCAGGCATTCTGCTGTTTGCAAAAACATGAGTTACGTGCAAAAGGAAACAATCCCCATCTGATCATTTGGCTCATAGCAGTCAAAAGAGTAAAGGAAAAAGATATTGGGGGGAGATTATAAAAGCACATTGAATATTCTTAGCGTGACTGGCACAACAACACCACCTGGTGGCTGGCCGCAGATCCACTCAACCTCGACCTTTCTTTCTCCTACTACAACCGCATGAATCAACTGTCACTGCAACCAATCATCCTCTCTATTCACCTATTTGCATATCCTACTTCATCTCACCTCATATCCTTTTCTGTATGTTGTCTTGTATATTGTTGTTGATAAAAAAAAAACTTGGCATGAAGTTTTCTGAGGATTATTAGAATAAAGAGTGGCCAACAATCACTAGAAAGGTTGCTTTCATTTCCTATAGAAGTCTACAGTAAATCTTCAATGGATTTTCATAATATCTAAATTAAAAAAGAGGCAAATTAATAAGCACGTAATAAACGAAAAACTTCAAATGATATATTTGCCACTAATCTATTAGTAGACCTATCATCCACTGGATGTTTAAAGATACAAAAAATCCACCTGAGACATCCAGGCAAAATGAGTTGACAATTTGGAGGTATTCTGGAGGAAGATCTTGGATGGGAACCATTTTTATGGAATGGACACTTTCATCAAGACCACTTTGCCCAGATCTGGAACCCTGGGCTTGCATCATCAAGTACCATCACAACACATTTCAAATAAGCGATATGGTGAATTCCTCCAATATCTTCTTGTACTCAGCCTTCCAAAGAATGGGATTGTGTCCTGTCAGAGATGATAAGATGAATAGCACTTACAAAGCATGCAAGCATCTGAGTAAGCCCTATTAAAGATCAATTTTACCATTAAAATTATGAAATAAAAATAATATTTTTTATGTTACTGTACTAGACATACCACTTTCATCACTCAATCCCTCAGTTTTCAAGAATATTTGTAACAACCATTTATGCATACAACGGGATGAAACTATTACCAGCACTTTCTTAGAGAAAGCACAAGAAAAAATTTAACAGGATGAAACTCAGGTGATCCAATCTTGTATGTCCCTGCACAGTGGCAGGGAGTAATGATGATGTGGTAAGAGTAAATAGCATAAACTTCTCCCACAGCAAGAGAATTTTTCCAGGGGGAAAGTACATGTTGTATTAGTGGGTAACATCAGAGACTTTTGACATTTCCATTTAACAAAGGAGAGTTTTCAGTAATACCTAAGAGTACCAACAGAAAAAGATGCACATGCCCTACTGAAGACAAGATATCAGAATTATACTCATGCATGTGAAGTTCCAGGGCCTTGGAAATTTTCATCTAAATGCAGCAGGGAGATCTGCATTAACTATTTGTTATTATGTCTATAAGAAGCACAATGCAATTGCATTCATCAGCAGGGAAACAATACTTTACTTTTGAAAACAAACTATTTACAGTTACAGTAACTTTGGCAGAAAAGGAACAAATTACCATCTTTTTCTAAGAAAGTAACTCATTACAGTTACAGTTCCTTTTTCATCACCATGTCATGCTCACTATCGCAATCATAGGCTAATCCAAACTGAAATAAAAAGTAAATGGATGGAACAGAGACAAGAATGGAGACTTTACAGTCTTTTTTTCAACAAAGAGTAGCTGTGCCTGAAGCTGAAGGTTTTTAGTTTTTCAGCATTTTCCCTCAAGAACAATTGTTTTCAAAGCTTTCATCTGTCAGACAGCTCCACTTCATGTAGAAGACACAGTCAAGGAAGGCTAAGCAGCCTTTCTACAGCAGCACTGGATGGCAAAGCTGTGTTGTATTTGATTGAGAATCTTTTCAAGCAAGGGAAATGATTTAAGTATCTTGATGTATCATCAACATTAAGGCAATTCTTACTTCTCTGACCTAAACTTCTGTGACCAAGGTCTTCTCAGATTTTTCCTGTTTGAAGATGCCATCCTCATTGTTATCATCAGCTGAAGACTCTGTATCTGATGGTGGTGGTGCCTGTCTGACCAGTTCCTTTTTTTTCATGTTCTCAAAAGAATGTGAAAATCCATTACTGAATTTGTACTTGGAGCTGTTCATCATTGATCTGTACTTCAGACACACTTGAGACATGTGCTGGTGGCATCATCATGATGATTTTT